GGCTTTATATGCTTTCGCCTGGTGCACCGCCGAGATTAAGTGAATCTGAAGAAAAAGATATTGTTAAAATTTTGATTGTGGCAAGTGAGTTCGGATCACTATTGAGTCGCCCGGATTTACGCATATTAATATTTGAATATTTAAATTTTGACATTTGTTGTTGAAATCGTCAACTGATATTACAATAGGTGAAGAAGGTTTTGATCTATATGAAAACCGTGTGGCGAGCACATCTAGACTTAATAATAATAATACTCAATCAGAGAAGCGGAAATTGTCTAATAAAAGCATAAAGCCGACGAAAAGGCGAAAAGTTAAATTTCTTGATAATGACGATGACTCTAGCAAAGAAAATTATTCATAATTTTCTTTGCTAGAGTCATTTAATTCATAAGAATTATGTTAATTTATTTATAATTATTGAGAATTTAACTAAAAAAAACGTATACCTCCTAAAACTTGTTGTGAAAATATTGAAATAAAAAATTTAAGTAAAGTACGTAATTAAGATTTTTAACAACCCTGACACACATCTTCCTTGCCACAAGAGTAAACTTTGCTATTTACAACACAATTAAAGGAGCAAATCATAACTCTGAGTATTGTGTATTATATTATGAGGTAAACTTACCTTCAGCCTTGAATTGAAATCTTATTATTTTCATTATAAACCCCGATGGTAAAGTTGCCACAAAGTGAGGTTAACTTTGCCATTTTCCTTTTTTAAGTATTTTGTCTATTTAATGTTATTAATTGTTTAAATCACTGATAAATACCAAATCTATGAAGAATATAATGTTACATTTAACATTGACGCCCAGTGTGAGAGTACATTTTTTGTTGGAAAATTGGTCCTAAACTTTTAAGTCCTTCCAAAAATGACAAAGTTGCCAGGTTTCACGGTATACAGAATAACTTGTTCAAACATCAACAATTTCATATTTTGATTAATTTTGAAATAAAGTTCCATTATAGGTATATAGCAAAATGTCATCGGATAAATTCGTAACTACATACGTTAGTAGTGTTCAATTTGTAAATAATTAATTAAAATTCACGAAATATATTAATAAAATGAATTTAAAACAGGTACTTCATAACGCAGTGAACGCAAATATAACTTAACAGCTATTATGGCTTAAGCGGTCACACGATAAATATTAATAAATTGTTTACATTTTCATAGTGAATAAATATTAATATTATTATTATGCCAAAAGGCAGTAATAAAATTTGCTTTCATTAATTTTATCTAAGTAATAAAGACTTGTGTGTCAGCGATGTATATTTATGAACTTAGAACAAAATAAATAGTACCTATCTAATACGTCTTTTAAAACGGGTAAAAAGGAAATTTTTATTTTAAATAATTGTAATGATAGAACTTTTATGTATTTATTACATGATGATAATTTTATCACGGCAATACAATGCTTCACTTTGATTGTATAATTTTTGATATAGCTAATGACTAATAGATAGACAATATTTCAATGGTATTAGGAAGTTAACGAATACTTAATTTTTATCTATAAACAACTGTCAATTTATTAAAGAAGTATTATTACTCAGCCTTATTGATTTGAGAATATTATACGTAATGTGCATACTTCATTTTCATTAATTTCTACGTCTGTGTATTGAGCTCCACTAATTTTATTTTTACTTATTATAAGCCAGTGCTTGATCACAATTCCACCTGGTGGTAAGTGGTGATGCAGCCTTAGATGGTAAATCGCACTGTTTTATCGTAACAAAAGTCTATTCACTCTTGCCTTGAAGACGCCTAGATTGTATTCGGACGGAAAGATAGACGCCGGCAAATTATTCCACTCCTTTGCTGTACGCATTACAAAAGACGACGCAAACCGTTTGGTTCTAATCCGTGGAATATCGACGACAAAGGAATGAAGACCCGCCGACCGTCTGGTTGTCCGATGGTGGAAAGGAGAGGGAGGAATTAAGGCGTGTAATTACTGCGCACACTCACTGAAATGCATCCTATAGAATATCGAGAGACTGGCTACTTTGCGCCCGTGTTCGAGGCTAACAAGATTGGTTTCAACCAAATCAAGGTCACCAATGAGCCTCTTAGCACGTCTCTCCACTGAGTCCAATGCTGCCAGGTGGCATTTTGCAGCACCAGCCCATATGTGACAGCAGTACTCCATGCACGACCGGACTTGCGCTTTATATAGGGTAAGAAGCTGCCCCGGCGTGAAGTAACAAACTTGTGTCTGAAGTCGAGTCTTTGCTGAACAAAGTCTCAGATTGGGGGCGACTAAATCTAGTCCAGTTTAATCCTCAGAAGACACAAGTTTGCGCGTTTACCGCTAAAAAGAAACCCCTTTGTCGTATCTCCTCAGTTTCAAGGCACTCCTCCTGTTGCCTCAGCTAGTAGCGGAATCCTCGGAGTCGACATATCGAGTGACGTGCAGTTTCGTGGTCACTTGGAAGAGAAGGCCAAATTGGCGTCTAAAAAGCTTGGCGTGCTCAGCAGAGCGGGACAGTATTTCATGCCGGCACACCGCCTGCAACTTTACAAGGTGCAGGTTCGGCCTCACATGGAATACTGTTCCCATCTCTGGGCAGGGGCTCCCCAGTGCCAGCTCCTTCCACTTGACCGCATCCAACGCAGAGCGACTCGAATCGTCGACAACCGAGCCCTTTCCGATCGGCTCGATTCATTGGCACTGCGAAGAGATGTTGCATCCCTTTGCATTTTCTTTCGCATTTACCAAGGGGAGTGCTCTGAGGAATTGTTCGGATTAATCCCAGCCGCCAAATTTCACGAACGCACATCGCGGCAGAACTCGCGATACCATCCACACCATCTGGATGATTGGCGGTCCACCACTGTGCGATTTAGAAGATGTTTTCTTCCTCGCACAACTTCCTTGTGGAATCAATTACCATCAGCGATTTTTCCGGACCGATACAACTTAGGGACCTTCAAGAAAAGAGCGTACTCCTTTTTAAAAGGCCGGCAACGCATCTGCAATTCCATCCCTGGTATTGCAGTTGTTCATGGGCGGCGGTAGTCACTTACCATCAGGTGAGCCGCATGCCGCATAAAAAAAAAGTACCGCCGCACCCTTGTAAGGACACCAAGTTTCCTTGCGGCTGCTTTGGCTCTGGACTCAATGAACCGCCCATAGTTTAGGTTCGGAGAAAATTCAATCCCCAACAACTGAAGGAGGTCAGTGTACTCCAAGGATACATTCCGGAAAGTAGAAGCCAAGGTGAGCGGGCTCCTTTTAGCGGTAAAAAGACACGCTTGTGTTTTGGAGGCGTTAAATCTCACGAGATTGGCATCGTCCCATTCGGAGACTGCCTGTAGTGTGAGACTCACACGCTCAACCATAGCCTCTCTTTCTGACTGGATTTGATCCCGACTGGCCCGGGCGCTTGGTTGGTATCTCTCCACAACTGTGCTGTCGTCTGCATACCTATAGACACCGGGAATGAGCAGATCATTTATTTACAGCAGAAAGAGAGTTGCGGAGAGAACAGACCCCTGAGGAACACTGGCGTTAGTCGCCACAGTATCGGATGAGCAGCCATCAACGACGACCCGGAGAGACCGTTCACTCAAAAAGTCCTTCACCCAGACAATTAGGCTAGGGGATAAGCCGTACGCTGAAAGCTTGCCCAATAGACTAGCGTGCCAAACCCTGTCAAAAGCCTTCGAAACATCGAGGGAAACAGCAAGTGCTTCACCACTGTTCTCGAGGGCTTCGAGTGGCATACGCTAGAAGGTCCCCAGTTGATCGATTTCGGCGAAACCCTTACTGGCGATCACTGAGGAGATCATTTTTCTCTAGGTATGCCATGAGGTGGGCGTTCAATATACGCTGCATAATCTTGCAGAGTATGGAGGTAATTGAAATTGGCCGATAGTTGGCAGGGTCGGCACGGCTGCCTTTTTTAAGCACAGGCTGCACATTGGCTAGCTTCCACGATTTAGGGACACACTGAATGAGAGGCGGAACAAGCCTGTCAACACAGGAGACAACTCAGGTGATGACATGGTGATGGTGAGACAACACAGACCTTTAGAACTATAGCTGGTATACCATCAGGTCCACTAGCTTTGTACACGTCTAGTCTTTACAAGGTTTTAAGAACCTCCTTGTTGCTGATACGGACCTCAGACATAGAGGTACCGCAGTGAGGTAATTGAGATGGTACGCTGTTGCTACTATCCAGACGAGAATTGCAAGCCAAAAGAGAAGCAAATAAGTCCGCTTTCTCCTTAGGCGCATGCGCTAGTGAGCCATCTGGTTTTACCAGCGAAGGCAGTGCAGACCGACAGAAGTTTGTCTCGACCGCTTTGGCGAGAGACCAAAAAGCTCTACTGCCAGATGTTTTGACAGAGAGCTTTGTACCGATGCATTTAATGCGGTCGAAACTGGCTTACGTACGCCATATGCTTGTGCTTTTCGGCACGAGCGCACTCGGCGTTAAACCAAGGGCGAGCTTTTACCACCAATGGACACGTCAGCAAAGGGGATGAAATACTCCATCGCTTGATGTATCACATTGGTTATGGCATCCGCGCAGCTCGACGGGTCTTCAGAGGAGAAGCAGACCTGCCGCCAAGGATAAGATGCAAAGAAATGCCGCATCTCATCCCAGTCTGCTGACTTGTATCGCCACATTCGTCGCACTCCGTGGAAATCGTAGTTAGGTGGGGAATATAACGACACAGATTTCACCAGACAGTAGTTAGGTGTACGTTTTAATTACGTATTTTGAACCCTCTTATGTAGTTGAGTACTCGTCAGCTACACAGAAAGAGGCCCATGTCCAATAGTGTATATTTACGGGTTGATCACGATGTCATTTTTTTAATTTTCTTAAAATTGATAAGAAAATTATATGCGCAGTAAAAAATAAATGTACAGGGTATCGAAAGCGATGACAATTCTAAAATAAAAAAATCGTGATGATATCTGATTTAGTAAAGTATTTTACATTGCTTTTTTACATTTATACAGGTACAGCATGATCGGCAGCTGGGACGCAGGTGTGACCTGTGCTCTCGCACAACTGCACAATGAAATAGGTGATGCTCAGACTGCGAAACATCATTATCAGGACGTAAGTTTTATCAAAAATAAAACTTAAACTTCATGTAAAAATAAAATAAATTGTTAATTATGTCTAAACCTGGAACAAAATTGCGAAGAATGTACCTATTCATACGAGGGTGGATTGAAAAGTACTCGGCCTAACCAAGAAAATAAACAAATACTAAATCAGTTATATTTTTATTTTTCTACATAATCACCATCAACTTCAATACACTTTTGCCACCTCCCCTTCCAAGCATTTAGACCGTTGAAAAAAAATGATTCATCCTTAGAGTCAAAATATGCGTCTACAGCTGCTTTGACCTCGTCGTTTGTCGAAAATCTTTGACCTCCCAAGTGCTTTTTTAGGTTAGGGAACAGAAAGAAGTCTGATGGTGCCAGATCAGGTGAATACGGCGGATGCGATAACAGTTCAAAGTCACAGTTGTGAATTTCAGCCATTGACTGTACTGACGTGTGAACACGGGCGTTATCTTGATGAAACAGGACTTTTCTTCTGAGCATTCCTCGACGTTTTTCTTTTATTTCCTCTCGTAAACGACGTAGTAAGGTGCAGTAGTAATCAGAGTTTATATTCTGACCCCTTTCAAGATAATCAATCATAATCACACCTTTCGAGTCCCAGAATACTGAAGCCATCACCTTATTTGCCGACAAAATCGACTTAGCCTTTTTAGGGGGTGGTGAACCAGGTCTTCTCCACTGTTTTCATTGTTGTTTTGTTTCCGGTGTACAGTAATGAACCCATGTTTCGTCCATAGTAACAAAACGATTCAAAAAATCATCTGCATCGGCTTCAAATAACTCCAAACAGTCGCGTGAAATAGTCAATCGCGTCCTTTTTTGTTCAACTGAAAGCAGTCGCGCAACCCACCTCGCAGACACCTTGTGGAAACCCAACTCGTTGACAATGATGTTTTGAGTTCGTTCATAAGAGATGCCTATAATCTCGGCTATCTCTCTAATTTTTAATCTGCGGTCTCCCATTATTAAATCAAGTACTTTTTTAATATTTTCGTCAGTAGTTGACGTCGAAGGCCTTCCAGAGCGGGGTTCATCTTTCACACTCTCTCTACCACACTTAAATTCTGCTATCCATTTTTTGACGGATGAATATGACAGAGCACAATCGCCTAATGTACTGACCATGTCATCATGGATGGCTTTTGATGATAGCCCCTTCTTATGGAGGTACTTAATGACGGCACGCTGCTCGATTTGCTCCATTCGCGGAAATTATGTCCGATTACTTTGTTAATAAATTTATAAAATCACAACTAATTATCGCACACGTTTCGAACTTCACACAATGAACTAGTCTGAACTGAACTAAATAATGTGGGTAGATTTTTAGAATTGAATGGATCTGTGTTAGGCCGAGTACTTTTCAATCCATCCTCGTATATTATTATAGTGAATTCATTGTATTTTTTTTACGTCCTTCATAAAAAAAAATCAGATGTTTAATTATTTAAAGTTAAAAAAGTTAAAGTTACAGTTCACTGCTGGGCTCAGGCCTACTCCTCTCATTTCTGAGAGGGTTATTTATTTATTTATATTTATATCAGCAACAAATTTTAACAAAACGAAGTGAGCCATGTCGCTTTTTTCATAATAGTATATAGTTGCACGTAGCTTATTTCATAATAGCTAATAAGTGTTTCATTAGAACTGATAAACTTAATAAATGTATACGATATTTGATTATTCAAAGGTGGAGGCAGTTTGGCCATGTGAATTGTCAGCTTTGCAGTGGTTGGCGAGCGAAACGGGGCCGGAAGAAGCTCTGCGCTACTACCGGAGAGCAGCGAGGCTGCAACCTTCAAACGTGTGTAGAATGTTTTTGTTGCCATATCATACTTAATGTTCTACCAACACAGACCAATGAAGACGTGAACGTTAAATGTGGTAGAAGAGCCATGCTGCAAAACGTGGTAGAGCCATGCTGCAAAACGTGGTAGAGCTATGCTGTAAAACGTAGTAGAGCCATGCTGCAAAACGGTGTAGAGCCATGCTGCAAAACGTGGTAGAGCTATGCTGCAAAACGTGGTAGAGCCATGCTGCAAAACGTGGTAGTGCCATGCTGCAAAACGGTGTAGAGCCATGCTGCAAAACGTGGTAGAGCTATGCTGTAAAACGTAGTAGAGCCATGCTGCAGCTATATTAGTAGTATAGTTGAAGCACGAATGGGTTAGCTCGACAGGGGAAGGCTTACGCTCTCACAGAATACCAGCGTAAAATAACCTTCCAACGTGTGTAGAATGTTTTTTGTTGCCATATCATACTTAATGTTCTACCAACACAGAACAACGAAGACGTGAACGTTAAACGTGGTAGAGCCATGCTGCAAAACGTGGTAGAGCCATGCTGCAAAACGTGGTAGAGCCATGTTGCAAAACGTGGTAGAGCCATGCTGCAAAACGGTGTAGAGCCATGCTGCAAAACGTGGTAGAGCCATGCTGTAAAACGTAGTGGAGCCATGCTGCAGCTATATTAGTAGTATAGTTGAAGCACGAATGGGTTGGCTCGACAGGGGAAGGCCTACGCTCTCACAGAATACCAGCGTAAAATAGCAGACTAACGCTGCTATACTGTGAGTGTAGAGAACCGGAGACCCTTTTTACTGGAAACGAGGCAATCTTTCTTAGTCCTCATGGGTGACAATGCATCTGCATTTTGTTACGTAATCGAGGATAGATGTCTATGGGCCACAGCAACCACTTACCATCAGATGGACTGTGCGCTCACTTCTCAGCCTTATTCTATAAAAAAAGAAGACAGAAAGACGGAGCGCTGCGTACTTGTCAAGTGATACAAAACCCAAGTCTAGAAACCATGTTCAACTTATGGTGAGTACACGCACTCACGTACACATGTGCATCTAAAATCAGTTGTAAACAACGGCGTGGTTTTAGACGCATATTATGTGCATATGTATGTGTGCGAATTGCACAAGTAAATTGTTAAAACTAAATAAAATAAATATTGCGCTATTATAGTTACGTAAGCATATTCGTTATACAATTTGTCCCGAAACTCAACGTCAAGTAGGCACGGGGTGAGAGGTGGGGTCATACCAGCCCCGGAAAATAAAAAAAATATCCATATTAGTTCAATTATAACTGACAAATTAGATTTTTCTTTCCTGTGCCTGTATTTTTAAAATGACAATATAAAAAATATAAAAGATGTATGTACTTATAAAAGTAGAAAAATTAAAAAAAAAAGAGTTAAAAATGTGCAAATAATTAAAGAGCAAACCACCGAGGCATTGTTTTATGTATTAATATAATACTCTAGAAACTGATAAAGTTTTATAACTTCTCAATTAAATGACACTGTGTAACAAAAGTTTCACCTCAGTGTCAACTAGCGACATCTGGTGAGCGGAAGATTATTAGTCCTCATTGATCTGACTGACTTCGTTTCGATTTCCGATCAACATATTGTTTTGGCCCCTAGCCACAATGGGGTTTGCTGATGGGTGGCTGCCTGCGTGCTAGTGGAAAGTATCAAGAAGCTCTCGCGTTATATAAGAAACTCAATGCACGGTTCCCCGACAATGTCCAGTGTAAGTTTTTTGTACTGTTTTACATATAAAACGTCAATGGCGAGTACATCACTCACATTCGATTTGCCGACGATATAGTCCTTATGGCAGAATCGCTGGAGGACTTAAGCACTAATGCGATCTATAACTTCAGAATATAATCAGTTATCTGGTCTTGGACGAAACGCATACACATGAACAAAACAACAAATCCGACTAGGTAAGTCCCACTTCGACTGAGAGTGCAATCGACGGATTCAATTCGGCTGGGCAGCGTTCGGGAGATTACGACACATCTTTTCGTTAGGTATACCTCAAATCTGAAAACAAGATTGTACCTACAACCAGTGCGTGTGGTTAGTGATCACCTATGGATCTGAGACGTGGTTGTTCACTGCTGACCATATGAGGAAGCTCAAGGTCGCTGAGCAAGCGATTCAGAGGGCTATGCTCGGGGTTTAAACTTAAAAACGAGGATATTCGCAGTAGAACTTGAGTAACTGATTTAGCCCAACAGATTGGTAAGCTAAAGTGGCAATGGACCTGCCATGTAGCTCGAAGAACCGACAACGGATGGAGAGGAAAGGTTCTCGAGTGGCAGCCTCGTACCGGCAGGCGAAGTGTAGATCGTCTCCCCACTAGATCGAGTGACGACCTGGTAAGACATGCAGAAAGTAGATGGATAAAGCAAGTAGCTAAGGACCATGCTTTGTGGCATTCCTTGGGGGAGGTCTGTGTTCGGCATTGGCCTTGTGAAGGGCTGTACTGCTGAATGATATATAGAACTAGCAATACGTCCTCGTCATCGTCATCATCATAATAATCATCACCAGAGGTGCGGTGCGATACGGGTATGCAAAGGCTTTTCCCCATGAAAAGGTTAACCCTTTAGGTTAGGGTAACACCTTTCTATAGAAAGAGTTATAAGCATTTCTTAGGTCAATCTTCACAAGAACATCTGCGTCAGGGCTTAGAATCAACGGCAATAGGACTGTCATCTTTATTACCAGTACCAGAAAGCATTAAATTACATATAATTTTGTAATGTTATTAAGGACTACACGGTCAACGTCAAACAGGCAGACGGGCTTAAAAGATCTCTAAGATGTTGAGGCGTAATTCCTTCAATGCCGCCAGTAGTGCAGTACTGTTGCTTCTAAAGTCTTTTCCAGAAATTTGTAAAGGTTGCATAGAAGTATAAGTATTGGGAGGCAGTGGTAAATCCTGCGAAGCATTAACCGAAGCATGTTTCCGACTAAGGCCTTCAAGAGTCTCGACATAACGAGGAGCCACAGGATGTCATTTGAGAATAGAATACGGATTGCATTTTAAGTCGCCATCTATCACTTTCAACTCAACTTCTTTTATTCACATTTGGTTAGTAAATTATTTTAGTCAGGTAAATATATACAAAAGCTTCTTTTTAGGTTTGAAACTCATCGTAAAGTTGTGTGGAGACCAAGGACTGTCAGAGACGACGACTTGGACAAGAGAATTACAGCGGGCGCAGGCCAGGCTCAAGCAACAAGAACGAGGTTGGTTAGCTTGCTAGCGAGTGCTATATAAGTTTTGTGAGGAGGACTCTTTCTCGGATTGTACATTTATTTTTTATTATTTTCCCATTTGAAAGTAACTGTCCGATAATTAAAATATAACGAACAAAACTCTGAAAATGGAGAAACTCTACACGTGCACTTGCCAAAGGTAAGGATAAATATATGTATACATAATTTTTATTATATTTTGAAAATGAGGTATGGGTGAGGCGTTGTATTTTTGGTCAATCCATTCTCTGTCGCCTTTTACGACGCTAACGGAATGATATGGGCTAGAGTTGATTCCCATATGCCGCCGCTACGGGGCAAATCAAAAACACTTTGTACTTTCTCATTTTTAAACATTTGTCATAATTTCTTAGAAGTGTCTGATTTTAAGAAATACCTAAAATTGTGTATAACTGTTTAAAGGTTAACAATCTCTTGCTTAAGGTTTAAAAATAAAAATCTTTTTGATGATTTTCTTTCACAATCTTTCTTTAACGATTTTTTGTGTGAATAACCACCAAAAGTAAACATTGTAACCAAATTGGTCTACACGCTCATTATACTTACTTTTTACCCGACTGCCTCAGAAGGAAGGTAATGTTCGAGTGTATGTGTATTGTGTCTATTTCTTTGAAGCGCTTTGTAGCCTAAATGACTTGATTGATAATAACATATGCTCGATAGATACGTCTTAGTTGTGAAAGTGACTTAAGATATTTGAATTTTCCCTGTTCAATAGGCTTTTTTATTCGCAGCCGATTTTTTTTATTACTGTTTAATCATTGGACTTACTTCTTGGTACTTCAAGCTATTATATATTGTATTGTATGTATATAGTCTCTAAGGAATTTAACTATTTTATAATGTTTAAGATACATTCGAAAATTGGTAGCTAGAGTGGTTTCAGGCGGCAGAAACCCATGCTCACAGATTAATAATGTAATAATATGATAATATACCTAACCCATACTACGCGGAACCACGTGCTAAGTAGTCCTATCTGTTTCATCCTTTAAAATCCACTGTTAATAAAAGGATGTCCTTGTGTGTGTTTCAAATGATGAAATGATGATATCGTCTCCAAATCAGTTTCTTACTGAATACTGTCACGCAGAAATATAATTTACATTTAGTTTATTTTTTAGCAGCAGTGGCCACGGCGTCGGCCGGAAGCGGTTCATCCGGTGCAAGCCAGTCGCCAATAGATCTAATTAGAGGTAACAGTGCAACATTTGAACTCACGATAACACAAAATATTACAATATATGTGTTCTATATTACGCTCAGATCTATCCACAAAAACAATCTTTACGCAATTACAAACCAGTAATAATCGAACTAGTGCATTTAACACACAGACCTCTGATAAACTTGACCGGTTCGATCTGGAATTATGAACCAGATATCCTGATCAGACCTGTTCGTTGTATATTTCATGGTGGAATATATTTCATTCAAGTCAATATTAGGATAACATGAAATTATTACAAAAATACGAAGAAAGTTGCTGGAAAAATTTGGTTAATTTCATTCAAGTGTAGGTATTGGCTACGGAAAGAGATGTTTTAATTCACACTTCACAGGTTGTCGATGTATCTGTAGCTTTTCGTTGAAGTTGTTTACAGGTGTCCGTATCCATCATCCATCCATCATCAGGTAGCTCGTCTATCACCAATATGATTATGTATGAGCTTTTACAATAAATATACTAAAGTTAGGGTTAACTTAGCCCAATGCGAAATGCGAATGGGATATATTATCATCAATGAAATGTTTTGTTTTTGGTTTTATTTGATTTATGAGTTATGATATTTTATTATTGTTTATTATTGTAATAAAGCGTGTTTTTTTACTGAATTCATCTTCATTTGTTGAATGACAAATATGGTAATATTAGCTGTATTGTATTCAATAGTATAATACCTACTTTCGTTATTTATACTTTCAGTTTTAAAATCGGTCGTGCATCGTCAATGTTTTCGATGCATAGTCATTTATTACTTTTAATTTTATAAGTTTATCTGCATATCCTGTTATTTGTATTCTATTATGTTTTTAAACCAGTGAAGTTAATTTTATGCATTATGAAAACACGAAATGACAAGGACAGTTTCACTTTAATAAAACACAAATGTTTCTTCTGCATATCAATGATATGTTGCAAACCGGTAACATACATTGCTATGCAGATGACAGCACTGGTGAAGCTCTATACACCGGCCGTGCCAGTATTTCTCGGGAAAACGTCGCCGAGTACCGGAACAAATTTGTGTCTGAAGTCGAGACTTTGTTGAACAAAGTCTCGGATTGGGGGCGACTAAATCTAGTCCAGTTCAATCCCGAGAAGACACAAGTTTGCGTGTTTACCGCTCAAAGGAACCCCTTTGTCGTATTTCCTCAGTTTCAAGGTATTCCCCTTGTTGCCTCAGCCAGTATTGGATTCCTCAGCGTTGACATATCGAGTGACGTGCAGTTTCGTGGTCACTTGAAAGAGAAGGCCAAATTGGCCTCCAAAAAGCTTGGCGTGCTCAGCAGAGCGAGACAGTATTTCATGCCGGCACAACGCCTGCAACTTTACAAGGCGCAGGTTCGGCCTCACATGGAATACTGTTCCCATCTCTGGGCAGGGCCTCCCCAGTGCCAGCTCCTTCCACTTGACCGCATCCAGTCCTTTCCGATCGGTTCGATTCATTGGCACTGTGAAGAGATATTGCATCCCTTTGCATTTTCTTTCGCATTTACCACGGAGAGTGCTCCGAGGAATTGTTCATATTAGTCCCAGCCGCCAAATTTCATAAACGCACATTGCGGCAGAGCTCTCGAGACCATCCACATCGTCTGGATAATTGGCGGTCCACCACTGTGCGATTTAGAAGATGCTTTCTTCCTCGCACAACTTCTCTGTGGAATCGATTACCACCAGCGATTTTTCCGGACCGATATGACTTAGGGACCTTCAAGAAAAGAGTCTACTCCTTTTTAAAAGGCTGGTAACGCATTTGCAATTCCCCTGGTGTTGCAGTTGTTCATGGGCGGCGTTAGTCACTTACCATCAGATGAGCTGCATGCTCGTTTGCCCCCCCTCCTATAAAAAAAACCTCCTTCCTTTTAGTTCCTTTCATCTATAAACACACACCACACCACATGAAATAAAATACGACAACATATCTACTATTTATTGATGAAAATATTTCTTCCTAGATTATTGAAACAACGTGAGTAAGCAGTGTTTGCGGCGTGTAAGAATTTTGCGTCTATTTAGTTCTGTAGGAACTGTAGGTATTTATTATTCAGTTATGAGTACTACGTATCGTGTAGTGGCGGTGTAAGAATATCCACTACCCCATATCATCCCATGGGTGTCGTAAGTGGCGACAGAGGGAAATAAATCAGGAATGTGCAGCAGGGTCTTCCTAAAAACTACTAAAAATATAAAACTGCGAGCCCGCTTGGTAACCGTGGCAACTATGGCAAACATCCCCCCTATGGGGCAATCTACGGGGGATGCCTATGTTCAGCATTGGACTTTAATCGGCCGTAACTGTAACGGTATAATTACTACGTGTAATTATGAAATTGATAATGAGTCTCATCTGACAGCACCTGTGTGTATTGACTAAAATCACCAATCCAGCATTTGTAAGGCGTGAAACTCACTCCTCTAAAAATCCTTTTTCTTATCATTATTTTTTCACACTAGGAATTTCTCCTGTATCGTGGGGGTTTACATACATAAATTTCACGAAGAAAAACTTCCAGATCCGGAATAATTATTTGTAGGCCATTCAAATACTTGTTCCGTGCGGGATTCGAACCCGCGGCCCTTACAGCTGCAGCTCATTGGTAAAACACTGCGCCACGGAGCCGTCTTCATTATAGAACCTTTATTTTTAACGGCTGTATTTTTGTATATATACAGGTGGGTCTCGCAATGAAAGAACAACACGATCGCGGCAGTCTAACGACGGACGGGGAGACAGTGCTACCGCACAGACAAACGTGTAAGATGATTTATGTTATACATAGGCTGCACTAAAAGTATCGGGAATGGAATATTTCCACTGTTCCTGTCATATTAAAATCTTTTTAATTGACAAGTCCTTAGTTTTTTAAAATTGAATACCATTTATTTATTTAAAAAAAGATTCTCGGTCTTGTCACAAGGTTTTGTCAAACTTGTTTAGTCGTTGAGAAAATGGAATTGACTCGAGAAAATTCAAGAGCGATGATTTATTATGACTTTCGAAGTGGTTTAACACAAAAACAGTGTGTTGACCGGATGATTTCTGCATTTGGTGATGAAGACCCATCCAAAACCACAATTTATCGCTGATTTACTGAATTTCGACGTGGACGTGTCAAGCTCAGTGATGATCCCCGTCAAGGTCGTCCAAAAACTGCAGTCACCCAAGAAAACGTTGATACTGTGCGTAAGCTGATTGAGGAAGATCGACATGTGACATACCGCGAAATTCAGGCAACTTTAGACATTGGCATAAGTCAAATACAAATAATCTTGCATGAACAATTAGGTGTAAAAAAGTTGTTTTCCCGATGGATACCGCATTCGCTCTGTGAAGAGCAAATAGCGGCTCGCGTTACTTGGTGCGTCAGAACTCTCGAAAATTTCCACGCAGGATCCTCAAATGCTGTATACAACATCGTATCAGGTGACGAATCCTAGATATATGCGTACGAACCCGAAACAAAAAACAAGTCACGAGTTTGGGTGTTCGAAAATGAGTTAAAGCCAACAAAAATTGTTCGTTCACGGAGTGTTGCAAAAAAAATGGCGGCCACGTTTGTCTCCAAAACTGGCCATGTTACGACTATTCCTCTTGAGGGACAAAGAACGGTTAATGCAGAATGGTATGCTAGCATTTGTTTGCCACAGATCGTTTCTGAACTCCGTAAAGAGAACTGCAACCGCCGCATCATCCTTCATCACGACAATGCGAGTTCTCACACCGCACATAGAACAAAAGAGTTTTAGAGCAAGAAAACATAGAATTATTAGACCATCCGCCGTACAGCCCCGATCTAAGCCCTAATAATTTCTATACTTTCCCTAAAATAAAGAATAAATTGCGTGGACAGAGATTTTCATCAACTGAAGAAGCTGTGGACGCCTACAAAACGGCCGTTTTGGAGACCCCAACTTCTGAATGGAATGGTTGTTTCAATGATTGGTTCCATCGTATGGAAAAATGTGTCAAATTTCGCGGAGAATAGTTCGAAAAGCAATAAATACATTTTTAAATAGTAATGTTGTGTCACTTCCTTGATTCCCGAAATTTTCAGTGCCGCCCTCGTATTTTGTATTTACAAAATACAGTAAAAATTTATCTTTATCGGATGTCAGGGCGGTGATATCAAACTTTTTAACCATACCTGCTCGCAATACCCCTGATATTAGGTAATAGGTTAGTTGACACCCACGCTAACTGAAATACCTTTGTTATCAAAAAAAATATTAATTTATTAAATAAAGTAAATGACGTCATAGATCCTGTTTTAAGCATCTTAAGAATGCCCTTAAGGAAAACATACCCCTAGAAAAGTGATGGTCACTGTTTGGTGGTTAACGCCGCTGTGATTCATCACAGCTTCTTACCAAACGGGATGAACATTACTGCAGATGTGACCGTGAAGAACTGAATGCAATGATGGAGAAGCTTGCACGTCTCCAACCAACTTTGGTTAATCGCTCGTTCCCGTTGCTCCTGCAATTAAATTTAATGTATGTACATTAAAATTCGGAACCGACCAATATTTGAGACGTTAGTAAAAGTAGTACATTCAAATCATTCGGACTGTATGGCGATATAAAAATCTCGCGTCTTTGCCCCATGTAAAATACACAGACTGGCGATGGGACGGGGCGATATAGGTGTCTGGTACTCGTACTCGATCTTCAATTCGCCTGTCAAGCATGACAATGGAACAATGGAAGCATGAAATACATTTCCTTCCTCCATACATTAAGAAAGGTTATTGTCCCGACAGTGGATATTTATGAGCTGACATTTACGTGGTGACAATGACAGTGATAATGAATGTAACCGTTTTTCACGGTCCGTATCAGGCCATTATATAGCTCGATGAACCGACAATCGATGGCGAAGAAAAGTTCTCGAGTGTTAGCCTCATAGCGGAAAGCGTAGTGTAGGGCGACCCCCCACGAGATGGAGGGAGGGATGGAAGTGCATGGATATGGAGCAATATGGCTCCGGGCCGTGTTTTGTAGCATTCCTTGGGGGAAGCCTATGTTGAGTAATGGCCTTGTGAGGGTTTATAATGATAGTGATGTTGATACTGTTGATTGTACTCGTATACATAATAACGCCGACGTAGAGAATCCACTACTCCATATCACGACGTGGGTGTCGTAAGAGAAGACAGAGGGAAATCGGAACAGGATCCACAGCTTGTAATAATAAGAAACAGCAGTTGCCAAACCGTCTGCTAAGCTTGGCAACTATGGCAAATTTCGCCAAAAACACTCTATGTAGGATAATTGTGCAGCGGTGGACTTGCAAGGATGTAATCAATAAATAATGAATGAATTAATACAGAGTAAACTCTCTGGAAATTTACGAAAATACAAAGGTCAAAGATGTTTTTTTTTCATAATGGTTCGCATTTCCTTTCAAAAGCAGACATTCATTATACTACTTTTGACAACGCTTATATAATTTAAATTTGTCCAAGTTGCCCGAGTTGATTGTACCAGACGTGTAGGTAAAATGAGGCAAAGTCATTCGCGACGTCATTGGGTCAAACCTTTTGAATATTCATCATATTTCATTCATTAGCCATTTTCGTTCATGTAATTTTTTTTCGACTACTAATAAATGCGCAACATGCTTATAGGTATCCGAGTGAAGACGTCGATACGGCATACGGCTATCAGCCTGTCAGCCGTTCCATCCATCAACTTGAAAGAAAAAAGAAGGCAGATGACTTTGATGACGACCTTCCTCTACCACCAGAGTAGTGCGATGTACTGTAATATTTTCTTAGTAGCATCTGTAAGATTAATTAAAGATACCATACTTTATGTTGATGTTGTATTTTTTCTGATGAAAATTTCTTGTTTCAAAATGTTCAAAGGTGATATGATCTTACGCATATAGAATTCCCGTGTAGTGGCGGCATAAAAGGAAACCAATATCCCTTTTCATTGCGTGGGTGCTGAATGAAGGGACTGTGTTGAAAATACAAGATTTCAGACCAGCTTCACCAGAGAAGATTAGAAGAAGAAAATATAGAATTGTTTTATTAAACGCTAGTTGAAATTTCCATGTTCTTACATTACAGTAATTCATAATTAAATTTCTGTCGTTCATTATTCCCTTACAGCCTATTAAAAGTCCACAGCTGAACATAGTCATTCCATATAAATGTTATGTGATCGTCACGCTTAGCAAACGGGTTGGTAACCTCGGCTTTTTTCTTTATTTGTTATCAGGAACTTACTGCTATCTCCTCTTTTCCCTTTCATTTCCATCTGACGCCTCTTACGACATCCAAGGGATGATTAGGGTAGTAGAATTTCTTACACCGCTGCTACAATCCAAGAGTGCTATACTGTTTTTTATTTATAATTTGCAATTTACAAACGGCTGGATGACGGCGCCTTAAGGTGAAAGCGCCAAGGTAGCCCGCGAAATTCAAATTTGCTTACGTTTTTTTCAATTTGCAGGTCAGTGTCAGGTTGTCTTTTTTTTATAGGATAAGTGTGACAAACGAGCACACAGTTCACCTGATTGTAAGTGGTTGCTGTGGCCCCTAGATATCTACATCTATCTTTGATTAAAAATCAAAATGCAGATGCGTTGTCACCCGTGAGGACTAAGTGGAATGCCTCGTTTATAGTAAAAAGGGCACCAAACACAGCAGTGTTAAGCTGCTATTTTACGCTGGTATTTTGTGAGAGCGTGGTCCTTCCCCGGTCGAGCAGACCCATTCGTGCTACAGCCATAATATAGCTGCAGCATGGCTCTACCACGTAAAATCATACTTTTTATGTTTAACAAAATATGATTCGTGACCGTAACGAATATGTATTTACAGAATTATTACGAATCATTACGAACAGAATCATTACGAACTTAAGAGGGTTGTAATGGTGATTATAAGCTGAAGGACAACGTCTTAGATAGATACAAAAGTCATCATTGTATAATCTTGTTTTCAAGTTTTGGGGCACCTTTATCGCGGTTAAGGCGGTCTTATAGCTATAAAGCAATTTCTTCCAGACCACCTTAAAAATAAATAAATAAAATATTAAAGGATAGAGTGCGCTATAAATAATATTACAATCTAAAATATAAATTAATAAACATGCCTAAATTTACTTAAATGACAGACTAAAAGCACAGACTAAAGCGACAGGAAGAGATAAAAGGAGGGGGCAGAAATTAGAAGTAATGATAATCTTCCTTAACTTGTTTTAAGTCTATTGTTTTGGTACATTCTATAGTTAGTGGTAAGGAGTTCCAAAGCTTGACTCCAAGAATGGAAAAAGATTTACTGTAAAAAGTAGAGGAGTGCAAGGGACATAGAAGGGGAAGGTTTTCTATGGACCGAAGGGAAAGGTTATGAGAGGAGCTGATAAATTGGAAACGTTCTATGTAGTAGGGGTATATCTGACGAGAAGATGTGTCGTAATCTCTCGAATGTTGTCCAGCTGAGTTGAATCTATCGATAGTCCTCTCGGTCGAAGTTGGACTTGCTTAGTCGGATAATTTGTCCAAGGTCAGAAATTAGAAGTAATGATAATCTTCCTTAACTTGTTTTTTAAGTCTATTGTTTTGGTACGTTCTATAGTTAGTGGTAAGGAGTTCCAAAGCTTGACTCCAAGAATGGAAAAAGATTTACTGTAAAAAGTAGAGGAGTGCAAGGGACATAGAAGGGGAAGGTTTTCTATGGACCGAAGGGAAAGGTTATGAGAGGAGCTGATAAATTGGAAACGTTCTATGTAGTAGGGGTATATCTGACGAGAAGATGTGTCGTAATCTCTCGAATGTTGTCCAGCTGAGTTGAATCTATCGATAGTCCTCTCGGTCGAAGTTGGACTTGCCTAGTCGGATAATTTGTCCAAGGTAAACATATTCGTCAACAGCTTCAGGCTTAGTGGTCCCAACAACTACTGGCATAGATGTGACACGGACGTTACACCGTTACTGTACCGTTGGGTGGCACTATTGAGATCATAGTGTAGTGCTTAGTGCTTAGGTCCTCCTGCGATCGTGCCATAAAGACTATATCATTGGCAAATCGAAGGTGAGTATTGTACTCACCGTTGATGGTAATACTGTGTCATTTTTTCCAGTCCAATAGCTTGAAAATGTCTTCAAATTCAGCGGTGAACAGTTTCAGGGATATAACGTCACCTCTCTGCATTTGGATAGGTTTCGTACTGTTTCTGTACTCGGATAGCCATCTTACCCCTACTGTACAAATACTTCATCACTTCGATATACCGACAGTCAACTTGCAACTTGGGACTGCAGCACTTGCTAACTTATTACTTGGTGCAGCTCATCGATCGGTTTTATTTTGTTGTTGGCTCTTTATGTTTTGCTGCTTCCATTACTGAGAAGCAAGAAAATATCTACTGTTTTAAAAAAAATCTCCTTTAAATGTAGACAAATAATGACTAACTAATTACTTGGTGCAGCTCATCGATCGATTTTAAATTGTTGCTGACTCTTAATGACTTGCTGCTTCCGTAACTGAACAGCAACAAAATATCTGCTCTTTCTTTCTAAAACTCTTCAGCAAATATACATTTGACTTGTAACTTATTACTTGATGCAGCTTATCGATCAATTCTATGTTGTTGTAGGCTCTCTAGGAGTTATTGATCTCATTATTTTTGAACTTCAGAACCAGTATTAAAATATAACTTGATTTCTAGTCATTTTTGTAGGGAGGTGAAAGACAGGGTGGCGTTATATCCCCAAAACTCTTCACCGCTGCATTGGAAGATGTTTTCAAGCTAGTCGACTGGAAAGGATATGGTATTAACATCAATGGGGAATACATCACTCACCTTTGATTTGCTGACGATATAGTCCTAATGGCAGAATCGCTAGAGGACCTAAGCACTATGCTCAATAAGCTCAATAGTGTCTCCCAACGAATAGGTCTTAAGATAAACATGGACAAAACAAAGATCATGTTAAATGTACATGGCACACCTATACCGGTAGTTGTTGGGAGCACTAAGCTCGAAGTTGTTGACGAGTATGTTTAACTGGGACAAATAGTCCATTTAGGTAAGTGCAACTTCGACCGAGAGGTCAATCGACGGATTCAACTCGGTTGGGCAGCGTTCGGGAAATTACGACACATCTTCTCGTCAGGTATACCTCAAAACCTGAAAACTAGATTGTACAACCAGTACGTGTTGCCAGTGATGACTTATGGATCTAAAACGTGGTCCTTCACTGCTGGCCGTATGAGGACGCTCAAGGTCATTCAGCGAGCTATGAAGAGGGCTATGCTGGGGGTTTCTCTGCGTGATAAACTTAGAAATGAGGATATCTGCAGTAGAACAAGAGTAACCGACATAGCCCAATGGATGAATAAGCTGAAGTGGCAATGGGCCGGCCATATAGCTCGAAGAACCGACAACCGATGGGGAAGAAAGGTTCTCGAGTGGCAGCCTCGTACCGGCAGGCGAAGTGTAGGGTGACCCCCCACTAGATGGAGTGACGACCTGGTAAGACATGCAAGAAGTCGATGGATGCGGGTGGCTCTGGACCGTGCTTTGTGGCATTTCTTGGGAGATTCCTATGTTCAGCGTGGACTTGTGAAGGGCTGTAATGACGATGACTGTGATGAATATACGATACAATATTTGAAAATTTACCGTCAGAAAATATTAGATATGGTTAACACACAACAGATATGGTATTAGTACAGAATAGATAATAGTACAAGAATAGAAGAATCAATCCTTGATAGCAAACTTGCGAGTTTAAACCTAGTTACAACTTAGCTAATGCTCATAATACTTTGTACGCCTCGGATGCTACCTTCGTTAAAATAGCCTACCGATTCTTACGGTGCGTTTTATTTTTGCTATTTACAACATGCGACACGCGACATCATTATTAATGAAAGAGTGGCAATAAGGAATGCTGTTAGTTTCAATTCCTTTCTTTTATCGGCCAATTGTTAAACTAATAACCAGTATATGCTGATCTCGCATTAGTAGGCAGTCACTAGTACTGTGAAGTCTACTTACACTTAACGATTTTTAAGGTTTTTGGAATTATACGTGAAAAAATCGAAAACTGCGAAGCTGTGGTCGGGTCGCTAACCAAATAATAAATATGTAACTATGGTGTCAGTAACTAGGTACCTTATTATCTAGATCTACCCTAAATAATAATATCTTACCTTTCGGTATCCTTAGAAACAGTAAAGAGTGAAAAGTCGACATTATTATTGTTATTTAAGCACCCGTATGTTATGCAGTACTTTTCGGCTTTTTGGGAGGCCATAGTTAAATAAAAACTCAAAAATAAATATAAAAATTGCTTAAATACTTATAAGAGAAAAATATTTTTTTGTTAACGTAAGGCGCACGTCAGTTCGGCGCGTGGCAACCTCATGGAATTAACCTCTTGTAGGCGGCTGCGCAGCGTAGGTATATTTTCATTCCTAAAGCGCGGAGTGAGGCAGGCCTGGTATTAGTTATCAGTGTCTCGAGGAACTTGAAACAAAAGTAACATATACTTCTATTGAAGTCTAGTTGATAATAATAATAATAATAATAATAATAGGCGTAGGGAAGTGATGACCCCACCGCCCGCTGACGTAACAGTTAAGTGACAAAACTGCTACGTCAGTGCAGTCAGTCAGCGCCTTGCCAAGAGGTGTGTGCGCAGTGCCTCGGCAGAATTGAGGGTGCAAAGGTCCGTCTGTGATTATGGCCACACCATGAAACAGTGCCGGGCCTGGGCGTCTCCCGTTAATTGA